TTAATACTCTATTTGCTCCATGGACTGTATGTATCTAGAGGTCAGGGTTATCTATTCTTCTCTGTATTAGAGGGTGTGATAAAAAGTGCTTAGTACATTGTGGGTACTCAATAAACTTGTTGAACTAATGAAAACATCAAAAGTTTTTCTCATGACTCAGTCTCATTCCACAAATTCTTTAAAAAGATACAATCCAACTGCAATTTGAGCTACTACTTTTCTGTGAGCTTTGACCTAGTAACAGGAAATACAAAAATCTCTTTGAAAATAAGTTTTGAGAACAACTTTATTAATTTTATAAATTTTCAAATAGCAAATACAATAAGGAGGAGACTAGATGGGGGAAAAGACTCATCCAACTCCAAAGACTAGACTTTTGCAGATAATTTAAGGATCTGTTTGCAAATGACATTCTATAGCAAGTTCACTGTACACCCCAAATAAGATTAAATGTGTTGCTTTGGACACATTCTGTGAAAAAACTCTCTGAGTATTCATCTGTGTCTCATTGTAAAGAAAAAAATTTATGGTTCAAGTAGGACTTTTCATTATAACAATAATAGAAATTGTTATAATTATTATAATTGTAATCATAGTTATTATTTATCATTATGACATCATAGCAATTATGTCTTTTTGTTACCTACTCTCCCCCTTTAAATCTCTAAAGATTAGGAGTGGAAGCAAAGTATTAAATAGAAACAACATGATGTCTTTTAGAGGAAAATAACATAAATATTAAATTAACCTTAAATTTAGTTTCACGAATTGAAATTGTACCTTTGTGATTTTCAAACAGCAGGAAATCTTTGTGGTATTTTGCACCTCTGTTGCAGCATTTGTTCATTGTTCCTTTCATTCAGTCTATCAGTCATTTATTTTCTATTTATTCATTCCTACAAACTTGTATTGAGCACTTTCACATTGCTTGAGACTCCCATTTCTAGCTCTCATTAGAAAGGTAAACCTGATCTATCACAGAAACAAAGAACTAAGTACCACATGTTCTCACTCATAAGCAGACCCTGAACAATTGCCATAATACTACAAGAAAGGGATTGGCAGTAGTGGAAAACTGCCAGGGAGGAGTGGGACAGAGAGGGAGACTTCATCAATAAGGGTATCTGATCTCAAACCAGGTGAAGTGGGGACCAAAGTGAGGCCCAAACTTTACCTGTATAATGACCTTTTGTATACCTAACCCTGAATTGTACCTCGCATTTTTAGAATAAAAATTCAAAAGAAAAAACCAAAAAACAGAAAGAAAGGTAAACCTGAACAAGATGATGTCTCTATTCTTGGAAAATTTGCACTTCAGTAATGGATACAAAAGGAATATTACTGTGATAGGACAAGTTAAGTATCAAAATAGGTGTGTGTACAGATACTGAGTCACTAGGGGAGAGAGGACCTGTCTGTCTGGAGGAGTGAAAGAAGGTTCTGTTAGGTGACGTTCTATTGGTTGGTGTTTGAAACAGCTTCTTTTGTTTCCTCTGTCACAATCCCCTTGATTGTGAGCTCCTGGATTTTAAGAATCATGTCTCATTCACCTGTGCATCCACCACAACCCAAAAATAATTCTTGTAAATATTTTTAGCTCACGAAATATTTAGAGAATTGAATAAATGTATTACCTATATGTAAATCATTTTTCCTTGACTTGTCAACAAGACATGATAGAGTAGTGACAAATACAGGTTCTAGCCAGTGTTAAACTAGGTTTCACTAATTGTTAGCTGTGTGACCTGGACAGTAATGTGTGTTACTAGGGTGCCGACTCTTGACACTGAGAATACAGCAATGAGTACTGTATGTTTCATTCTCAAGAATCTCCTAGCTTTTCTTGTTTCCTCTGTCACATTTGCAGGTCTTTGCTGAATTAAACTGAGACTTAAACAGAATCCTAGGACTTTCTAAAAGAAGAAAGGTGACTTTTGGTTGTCAGTTTTTGGGGGGATGACTGACACACTCTGAAGTGCAGCCAGGTTCACCATGATTTATCAGAGTTCCTTGGATGAGATAGTTGGACATAGTGAACTCAGAGGGACCCCGCTCTCAGAGCATCTGTGTTGTTTGTTTGCCTGTAGCAAGTGCTGACTGGGAGAAACAAATCTCTGAAGACAAAGGCAGCTACAACCCAGCTGAGGGAGAACCCATTATGTATAATTTGCAAAGTCCCCAAAGTGTTGCCAGAAAACCTCCAAATGTTTTCTGTATTTGAGTCTGTCGTGGTTGCTCTTTTATACTACTGTGACTACCCACACAGAAGAAATAACTAGTTGTAGGAACGTGTCAAAAATATGAGTGCCTCTCAAGTACAGTATGTTTGCATACAAAATGCATTTTTGGCTTTAATTATAGACCTTGCAAAGAGTATAGAAATGTGCAGCCTTGTTATGAGGTGCTAGTGTGTGAGGAATCCTGGCTATTCTCAATGAATTCCCAGAATCTGCTGTGGAAAGTATAGCCCCCAGGCAGGGGGCATCTCCATAGCTCTTCTAATGTCTAATGCAAGCCAGGCATTTCCTAGTGTCTCTGGACAAGTAGCAGAAGTGTAATTGTCTGATTGTCTTTACTGTCTAGGAAAGTCTCCCGTGCGATACAGATAACTTCTGCCCTGCTGTATCATGAAAATTCTTACTAGTCTCTGTCATCGTTTTATTTTAGGAATAGAGAGATCTTTAAATTTAGAAAGGATTTACACATGATTCGCTGCTTCTGTTCTTCCTATAAAATTTCTTGTTGAGTTTAGGGATAAAGTATTTACTATGTTTATAAGATGATTAGATAATTTAGCTTCCAAACTTGAATGGTTTTGAAAGTGAAAGGGACATCAGATATAAACTAGGACTGTTCCAGGCAAACATATGATTCCTCTGGTTAATGGAGATACTTTTACTTTTGTATTTCCTGGTTTCTTGAAGCACTAACCATAGCTGTCACCTAAAGGCGACATCGTCTGTGGTGTTTATGATCTTTCCTGAGAGCTTTGGAAATAAATGTCAGAGGTAAAATTTGTTGTATCTTTGTTATAGAGAATTACCCTTCAGCCCGAAATAGAGAAGCCACCCCTGAAAATCAGTCTTCTGATTATGTACATGTCTCTTGTTGCCCTGTATTCAAAAAACACTGAACTGGCTCTGTTACTTAGGGAAAGCCTTTTCTTTCTGAGGGCCACAGCTCCAGTGATTTTCCTACTTTAATTTTTGAAATTTTTAGTGATTCAAGGTATGTACCAGAGAACCCATACCTGTAAAGTTTGAGTAATTTGTCAACAACCTACATATTTGTTGGAATTTTATTTTCTGAAGACGTATAATAAACACACATAGAGACTGACAGCAATATCTGAAGATGCCATAGAAACATTAGGTCCTGAGGACAGAGAGCATTTAGCAGCCTCAAGGGTGCTGTACATGAAAAGGTTTCGGGAGCTGAAAAATGCATGCCATACAGAAAGAAGGTGGCAGTTGGCAGAGCTGATGTTGAACAGTACAAGGAACTATACTTTTTCTCTCTTTACTTGACCAGAATACCATGAGATGAGAGTGCCAGGTTTCAAAGTCATTTGCAGCCCAGCGTACAACTCAGAACTTGTCAAGATAATAGAATGGCTGGTAGCTTATTGCTCCTGAGCTGATGCCTACAGCAGGGTCCTGTCCCAACGTACATTTTATCCCTGTTGTGTTAGGTTCCAATGTTAATTAAATTTATAATCATGTAAGAGTGCCACCTTAGTTCAGATATTTCCGAGAGAAGTTGGAGAAGACTCCTAATCAGCAATAATGATATTCCAAAAAAATAATTACATGGAGAATTTCTATAAGAATGAGCTGACTCTGTTTTAACAATTGGCGATTATTTTTTTCTGCAATGGTGTCAACCTCCTTCAGCTCAGAGGCAAGGCTTTGGGTTAGAAAATCTGTGCATGGTCCAGGTATTTGCTGATTCTAAAGAGTCAGAGCCTAGAGGAAAAAAAAAAAAAAGCCCAGAAGACTTCTTTTCATGGGGAATGAGTAAAGAATGAAGACCTCTTTTGACTAGCAAAATCAGTCATCAGTTTTCAAAGAATTAGAATAGTCATTCTCAAACTGTCTTCCCTGGAACACTAGTTTTACGAGATGTATGAGCTATCCCAAGGAAAAGCTTTTACCAGCTAAAATAAGTTTGGGAGACAATGCATATTATCATTCTGCTCTCAAAGCTTCACAGAGCATATAAGTATAATAATTATCTGGGACTATAATTTTTAAACAATTTAACCCAGAGTTTCCTGAATGTATTTGTTCTTAAGTATTTTCAAAGAACACAAAGTAAAGTCTGATATTGCCAATTTAGAAACACTGTATCAAAAAAAGTCATATATACCCAATATCAAAATGGTGCCAGACAGCCTCAATTTATTTATTTATTTATTTATTTTTGGTTATTGAGAGCCAACACAGCATTTGAGTCAAGAATTCCTCC